TTATGCTCTGAAGCGACAGGGACGCACTCTGTACGGATTCGGAGGTTAAAAGCCTCTAAACAACAAACCCAACGGCTCTTTTAAGAGCCACCAACACTCTCACATAAAAAGTCAATGTTGAAGTGAAGATTAACAACACATTGCTTGTGAATTGACCCCTTTTGAAAAGCGAAGCTTAATACTGTTGTGTATGTTTCTCTGGGAATGAGTACTCGTGTCTTTGAGCTGATAACTTTATGTAGTTCTATCTTTTTTTTATTATTTTATTTTTTATTAGCTGTCTTATCACTTGTCGTTCATTTTGTGCTGTTGAAGCTTTTGTCACCAAAACAGCTCTATCGTGTGTCTAAACATACCTGGCAATAAAGATCGTTCTCATTCTGACTTTTATTGATTCTCATATTTAGAGCTCGCTTAACGTTATATATTGCTGTCAGAGGCGCACACAATGAGGTAATCTTTTATTTTCTTTTTTTACATGGCATTTTCTTTTGCTTGTTTAGCCTTCCTTTGAATTAAAGTTGTTTATAAAATTAAGAGAAAACACAATCTCAAGTTTGAGCAGTTAAATTGGCAGAACAACAAGAGAATAAAAAGTGTCTAGGTATTGCTGTCCTTTCTCCAAATGAGCTCAGTGGGTTTATACGGTTTTATTTTTTTATATGTATATAAATTACACTCTTTAATATTTATCCTGTGTGATATTTGAGACGGGTTTGTTTTCTTGAATAGAATATAAATAACAAAAAGAGCGGGAATTGAAACAAAGGAAACTTAGTCACGTGGGCTGATGTCGTTCAAACTTGGAGCGGTGGGCGGGGCTATCACGTCACAGCCTGTGATTGGCCCTCCTTCCGCTCGTGATACTTCAAGTTGTCCAATCACATATGAGTTTATGGGTTTAGTCTGGAAAACACGCAATCAGAAGCGTCCATATCTCTTTGATAATTAGCATAGATTAGTGAATAAATGCCTCTGTCTCGCTCATTCTAATCATTGTCTCGTGAGGTTTGATCACGCAACAGCATTATGCCTGAACCAGCGAAGTCCGCTGCCAAGAAGGGCTCCAATAAGGCCGTCACTAAGACCGCAGCGAAAGGAGGAAAGAAGCGCAGAAAGTCCAGGAAGGAGAGCTACGCTATCTACGTGTACAAAGTGCTGAAGCAGGTTCATCCTGACACCGGGATCTCCTCCAAGGCGATGGGCATCATGAACTCTTTCGTTAACGACATCTTCGAGCGCATCGCCGGTGAGTCGTCTCGTCTCGCTCACTACAACAAGCGCTCCACCATCACCTCGAGAGAGATCCAGACCGCCGTGCGTCTGCTGCTGCCCGGAGAGCTGGCCAAACACGCCGTGTCTGAGGGCACCAAGGCCGTCACCAAATACACCAGCTCCAAATAGAGCTTCAGTTGATCCACGAACCCAAAGGCTCTTTTAAGAGCCACCTATATTATCTTTAAAAGCCTTGGTGGCACAATATTTTTCTGTATGTTTCAAATGAAAGGAAATACCGTTATTTGTCTTAGTACTGATTACTTTTAAATAACGTGATTTGTGAGTGTTTATTTTTTACTGTGAACATAGGCGGAAATCCCGAGGGGGACAATACAATAGTAAAACAACACAAATGCAAACGGCAAAAATGCGTTTTAAGTTTAGAAACATCGAGTTTCTCACTCCCTTGCCTGGCAGTGCTTTGGTCCAAATGCTTTCCTTTTTTATGACACGCAGTTGTGGAACTCCAGTAAGTAAGGTTGTCAATTGGCTATTTTATTCACGTAAACTTCGGAAGAAGTGATTATTTTTTCTTTGCAAGTGCACACATACTTTGAGTGAGAGGAGAGAGCATAGACCGTAAAAAAAACATGGACGTAGTGTCCGTGACGTCACTCGTAGGGTTCAGAAGGGCATTTTTTGAAGCCTAAAGTGGGCGGAGCTGCCGCCGCCATCTTGGTCGCACGTCACCGTGCATCACTCCCGGATAATCGAAAATGGCAAAAAGGCGGGAAGTGGGTGAAGCTGAGGCGCTAGTTGCTGAAACCAGGCCCATCTATGGTGTGTTTAGCCGTTCGTCAATATTACTGTGCCAGCCTGGAGTTATACGGTATTCTGCATTTGTTTTACTGTCCATTAAAGTCTGCGCTTTTAAATTACAGTGTGACTTGTGTACTTTCATACATCTGTCGGCACTTCTTTAGACAAACAAATTAGATCGCGATCTAACAAACTGCTCCATATAACAAAGCACTGTAAGCAACGACTAGATAACTTGGCAACAATAATTAATCGTAAATAATCTTTAAAGTTTTTATATATATATATATATATAATGCAGATGCCAGCTGTCAGTCTGGGGCTGCCCACTTCTGCACGTGTGAGGAGTCGAATACCATGACAGCGTATCACATAAAATCAGTTACTGTTCGCAATTAAATCCGTTTCCTAACTTTTCTTGTAACTCGATAAAAACCATTGCAATGAACGTTATCGGAGATGTTTAATTCATAATCATTCTGAGCATTATTTCTGCTGGCGTTCACATCAATCAACAAGTCGTTCTTAGGTTAAACTATTTTCATTCAGTTCGATGTAAAAACAATAGGCAAGGCAAGGCAAGTTTATTTATATAGCACATTTCATACACAATGGTAATTCAAAGTGCTTTACATAAAAGAAAAGAAAAAAAAAATCACAACAATAAAACAAG